TAATAATAATAATATATATATATATATATATATATATATATATATATATATATATAATAATAATAAGTTAAAATATATATATTATAAAAAAACGTAATCACCTTTTTCCACTTAAGTCGAAGAATTCTAAATGATTCAATATATAATCAAGTACTATATCATTTCTTGCATGTTTGGCAATAATAAGGAGAATAATATTAATGTTCATTTTACTGTTTGTTACTCTTAAATAAGAAACATTACTCTTTACTAATGACAAATAACTTTTAATAACATCAGGATTTGTAGAGCAAGTTAAGTATTCTAAAATTGTATTGTCGGATGTTGCATTCCATTCATGAAACACCATGAGCCAAATACTATTATTTGCTGTCATTAAACCTTTACAGTATATCCATTCTTTCCAATTCTGTCCAAGTCTGCATTATCAGAAAAAAAGAAATATTTTATACAACATTTAACTACAATATTTTAAAATTTAATATTTAAATAATTTACTAAGCATATAGTAAATAATGTCACGAAACTTGTTTATACAAATATGGTGGTTGTAAAACAACTTACTTGTCTTGTACAGAATATGTACTTCTACTTTCAATATGTTTTTTTAATTGTAAGTTGGCTATTATTCTACATTCCGGTGCATTGAGAACACATGCCCATTTTATCGATTCTTCTCTTAAACGTCTAGTTAACTCCCTGTCATATATTTCGTCACTGTATTTTAACCTCAGCAGAAGTTGACGGAATATTTCGCTAATATTCTTCTAAAAATTGTTATATAACAGTAATATTAAATTTATTGTCATTTTTGAGAAAGATGACATAAGTATATTTACACATATACACATTAATTTAAACTCCTTTTATATGTATACAATGATTTAATATTATATATTATTCTTTTTTGCAAAAATTTACTATTATTATTATATCATATTACAATTATATCATCTGGAAGTGCCCAAACACACGTCATATATTCAATAACTTTAATCATAGGATACCATGCTACATAGTCCGTATCTTTATATAGATAATTTGTAATACTCCAAAACATGGTAAGATTGAGTTCTCTTTGCTGAACAAAATAAAATGCATCATCGATGATTTGGGCTCGATTGAGAACATGTATATTGGCATGATTTTCATATAAATAGTTTGCAAGTTTTTTCCAGTTATCCTCATCATAATTGACGCGATAGTATCCTATGACACAAAAATAATATTTTTTAAATAAAATTGTCTGTATCAAATTTGTCAAGAAATGTTTGCAAATATCATTATTTTCTTCTAAACATTTTCTCAAATAATTTATTCTTCTGAATAAAATGTATAATAAATTACATTACTAAAAGTTAGACTTTCAAATGCTAATATTGCTTTTTGGCCCAATTTTTTTAAATAAAAAATTAGATTGAAAAAACATATAAAAAATTGCATATATTATCTTTTTCTTTAACTCGGTATATTGTCGCGGAGGAAGGTCCGATTAAAATGATTAAGACAAAGTTTTTTCGGAATCGATAACTCAATCAAAGAAAATCGCATAGCGATCAACAATCACACGAACTGAAAAAAAATTTTGTTAAGGAAATTTCATTACGAAATGCAATTAACAGAAATATTCGACGATTTTTTACAAACCAGGTGTAATGTTGCAAAGTCGCGTTGAAAATTTTTATTTTGACGTACCCATCATCGTATCGTTTTGTAAAAAAAAAAGAATTAGTAAAGAGTATTTGAAAGTGCTGGATTAGGTCTCAATTTGAATTAAAGTTTGAAGAAGTATACTTTACTTTCCATAATTACTTTCCCCTTAATGTAAAGCTCAGACAAATGCGCGGAAAGATGTGAATTTATGATATATGTACAATGTATGATGTATATATGTATGTGAGTTTATGATAGTTATGAGAGTTTATGTGAGTTTATGCGTTTATGATATATGTACAATGTATGATGTATGTATGTATGTATATGTATGATGTATGTTATAATGTTTTACAGATATAAGGTCAAATAACTAAGTAAAATTAAAGTGATTTAGTCTATTTTGCGCAAGGTCTTAGCAAGAACATTAATACTTGATTTGTCTGTTAAATTATAGAAGTTCTGATATTCAGTATTCTTATATTTTAAGTGCCGCGAACTCCATTAAACGTTTATATATCATTCTATATCATTTATTGTAATAAACTTTTATTTCTCGAACATTAGATGTGTGTTCTTCAGTGCCAATAAAACGATCAAAAGAAAGAAAAAGTTTGAATTGAAAAACTTTAATTTTTCGCGAAGTTACATTATTTTTAAGATTGCTTTCTTTCAACGATTATTCTTGACCGCCTGATTGTTATAAGTAGTGTATATAATTGTGACTACATATATTAATATATAATTTTCAGTTTTGAATAATATCAACCAAATATAAATTTTCAGATAAAAAAAAGTTATACATCTGTTTACCGAGCATGGGATAATAAAACGTAAATTATAAAAAATAAAGACGGCAGAACAATATAGTACGTGTTTAATATTTACCAGTTTGTTGTAAATTGACTATAATCCAATCCTTATTGTCAATCTTAGGTACATAATAATGCGGTGTTATTGGAGTTAGCCAGACGAATTCTTTGACATTTAATGTCTCAAAGTTCATAATTGATTCCGACGTATATGTCACATATATTGAAAATAATCTATTGTCATTAAGTAATGCACGATGATAATTAGTATACGAGATTATTGTTATGTTATAGATATAATTTCTTGCCACATGCAGTATGGGATAATGTGCTTCTGTTAACCAAGAATCGCGAAAATCTATTATATTGAGTGTGCTATTCGTTACATTTAGAGCCTTGTGCATAGCAGCCAAAAATGCCGATGTAATATTAAATTTACCATCAGTATCTGTCGCGTCTGTCAGATTATTCCTGAAAAATTAACATTGCAAAAATCTTTATTATTAATTTTAAAATTACATTATTTACTATTAATAATAATTCCGCAATGCATTGTGTTTAAAATTCTTTACATGAAAAGTAACTAAAAGCAACCGATAGATTTGAAACGATTGACGGATTTTATGTATTGAAACTGTTAATTTCCATGTTTCTTGATATAGAGTTTGATAAGCATGTCATCAGTTTTACTGCTCCCATTTTTTACATAATAATCATTACTATTAAAAGATATAAATGATATTACTCACTGCATGTTTACATACGTGTTGATACCAATCCAAAATACATTACGAGTCATTATATGATATAACATGCGCCATATAACTAATACTGTAACAATTAAAATTATAAAGTACTTATTTAGTATTTTGTGGTATATTTATTTTTAATAACGATATTCATGCATTAATTACAATAAAAAATTCATTTTTTGTATTTCGTCATAAAACTAAGGAATATAGGTATATTCACTAGCGGATCCTGGGGGAGGGGGGGGAGAGTT